TGATACCATGAGAGGAAATTGCAAGAAACGGGAAGGCAACAGAGCTGAGAGAAGAGGAAAGATAGAAAACAGAATTGTATTTCCTTGATCACCATAGAACAGCGGTACACGTATATATAATACAATTGGCTGAGAAGTAAATAGATACAGATTTCGTATTAAGGCTAAGTAAATAACGGCTTGGATAATAGTTTCAGACAAGCCATTTGGCTATCTCATTTTCTACTTTCTATACTAAATCTGACGCTTGGATTTACTAAAAAAAGCACACAACTCAGTCCAGGACTAAAATTTTCTACACCCAACTTTAGCAATGTAAGAAATCCAGTAAATCGGGAAGAATATATGAATCCAGATAAAACAAAGAATAAGAAATTTCAGTAAGGCATAAGGGAACATAAAAGAGATGATAACAGTTTCTTCAAATTATAGACTAACTTTCACCAAATTTTCTGCTCACGTTTGAATTCAAAAGCTCCTCAAATAATTTACAGATCATGTAAGCACACTCAAAGTCTGCTTAGCTGGATTTATATAAGCAGCAATAAAAACTTTATACGAAACAAAAGAAGGACACGAGACTCTTCATAACAGAAGTGAAGCACAAAATCAATTTTAATTATTTATTGGATATGAAAACAGCATACTCTAATCTAATATCCATATAAAACAAGTAACCTAAACTGCAGCACATCCTTCATGTTGATTCATTGTTGGAATTTGCGTAGTAGTTCATTCAAAATTTTGTTTTATTTTTTTATTTGTTTGTTGCTTCTATTCAACCTATTAATCCCAACATTTGTTAAGTATTGCTGGAAACGACATCATATGAAAGCTAAAAGTAAATGGAAGACTTGGTCTTTCTTTGATTAGAATAATTGCTCTGTTTTGAAGTGCTACACTTTTGAGGATGAAAAAGTAATGTGACAATTGTTCTCCACAAAATATTCAAAAGAAATCAGATTACTGAACAATTGAGGAACAAGATATATGGCTTAAAGATGTAATTTTTTGAACTGTATATGACCTATACCACAAATTGGAAGAGGTTTCCCTGACTCAGCAAAGTGAATGGGGCTTAATTTCAATAAGTTAATAGAAATTACTGAAGAAGTAAGCCTCGCTAATAAATAATTAGAAACACACATGTTATGCATCCATGAAAGTAGATAATCATCAACTTACAAAGGGTAGAAACAATAATTAATCAATACTTAACAAATAAAACAAGTAACTTAGCACCTAATTAATTAAATCCAAACACAATGACGTTTACATAACTCACACAATACAACATATCAAATACAACCTAAAACAACACCACTGCAATCAAATTATGTAAAAAGGAACAAGGAATATATTAGCTAGCTGCTGGGTTCAGACTTTGTTATCACGGACTTTCACTTGCAGGTGGTGGTGAAAGAAACGGAAGTGATGGAATACTGGGAATGGAAGGCAATGGTGGCAATGACAATTTTGGAATTGCTGGGGATGGTTGGAAGTGGAGGCAAAGCAAAGTTACGAAGGGCCGGTATAGCAGGTGGCGGTGGCAGTGCTGCAGGCTGTAGGATGGACGGCAGAGTTGGCTGCGGTGGCAACGATGGAATCGGCGGCGATTCAGGAGCTGGCGTGTTGAAGTTTAGCACCTAATTAGTACAACAAAAGCTTCTAAAAAGAATAGTTCCAACTCAAATCGGCGGATTGACGGGATCTGCTTGAAGAACGCGCGATAGAAAGTTACCTTCACAGCTAGCGAGCTCCCGTCCTTACTTCCGATCAAAATGTCGCAACTTCCGATCCGACAGGAAAAGAGAACGTCGTCGAAGGAGCGAAGTTGAACAAGAACGAATTCGGAGCCGAAGAAGCCACTCGTGCAATCTTACACTTCTAGAAAGTTACCTTCAGAACCTGCGAGCTCCCGTCCTGACTTCCGATGAAAATGTCGCAACATCCGATCGGACAGGCAATGGGAACGTCGTCAAAGGAGCGAAGTCGAACAAGAACGAAGGAGCCGAAGAGGTCTCTCGTGCAATCTTACACCTCCTGCGAAGCAATGAAGCCGAACAGCAACGATGATGCTGCGAAGGATTTCTTCCGATGTATTTATAACCCGCTCAATTTGAGCGGGTTTCTAATTCGCACCGAACAGGCCCCATAATACGAACTTTTATTTGGTCCGGTGCAAGGACCTAGAGGAAGGTTCGGTTTTGCCTAAAAAAGTGCAAATACCGAGTTTTTTGAAAAAATACCGAGTTTTTCAAAAAACTCGGTATTTGCACTTTTTGACCTATTTTTGCCTAAAACCGAACCTTCCTCTACATCCAGTGAAAGGACCTAATAATTGCTCCCATAATACACTTCTAATACTTCTGAGGGTTTCTATTTGTTCCGCTCAAAATTAATCAAATAACTAAATTTAATAAATACTTGTAATTATTTTACTTTACACTCCTAATGCAGGCAACCAAACAGCCCCTTAGTCAATTTAAAATTTTCAATAAAACAAAATATTAAAAATTTTGAAAACATAGCAAAGAAATTTCATAAAAATAAATTAAATTGAAGAAAACAAAAGTTTAGAATTATTTAACTTTTAATTTGTAATGCAACTCAATCATATATACATATGAATCCTAATTAAATATATAAATAGATTAATTATGACATTAGATAGAAAATTTGACAATTAATTATGACAGAAGATTAAAATTAATTAAAATTAGATCAATTTGTGGATTGGATTTTGAATGCCAATGAGCTATTTCTAATTATAAATCCTAATAGGGAGGAAGCATGACGACATTACTCATAGCAAAGGAGAGATTACAAGACATTCATTTTTGGGGACATTTAAATCAATTAAGTCAAATTCTCACACACATCGCATGCACAAAATTTGAATCCAATACCTCTTATTGGTAGCCTAAGCTCTCAACCAATACACTAAGGTGAGCTGTGTTAAAAAAAATGTACAAAAGAAAATGATTGATTTGCTTTACACTTTCATGCAACAAAAGTAAATTCTTTTGAAACTATGAATAAGTTCCTCGAAGGTCGCATTGTTATCCTAAATAAGAAGAAATTATTACGTGTGGAATCCGGATGTAACTACATTCAATATACCAATGTGTACAAGCCATGTATCTTGAACACATAGTATATATAATAAACAAACTTGTATATAAGCCACATGATTCAGTCACATTAGATTACGGCCGCATCTAAACTTCGCATGTAATAATTTCTCCTAAATAAAAAATTGAAATTGATATTTATGCTGGCATGAATTTAATTCTAGAAGCTTCTAATTCAAATAAGTATAAAGATTAGTATTTGATCAAACTAATTTACTAATCAAAGAATAATTCCAAATAATATAAGAGAGTGAGAGACTATTATATGATAAACCACAGCATATTCTCATTCACTAAAAAAACTCAAAGTTGTCTTAATTAGCATACTAAAAAAACTCAAAGTTGTCTTAATTAGCATAATAATATTAAGTAAAAAACATTAATTTTAATCATTTTTCAATAAACTATGCATGATTAAACACAGATGCAGACAAGTCATAAGCCAATTTTTACTCCAAAACATCATCCTTAGCGTGCACTTCAAGATTTAATTACATGTAGACCAGTTAAAAAAATAATAATTAGCCATATATGATATTGTTTAACATATAAGCCTGTTATTAATTTAAGATAGACAAAAAATGTTTCAACATGTAAAATACATACTAACATCCACCGTTTTATTATAAAAACATTGTTGTATTATCAAAGCCAAAGTCTGTAAAAGCCCTATCTCCTAAGTCACCAAACTACTAGATTAAAGTTTGATTAAAACCTGTAGGTTAGGCTAATGTAACTCTCAATAAATCCTAATCAACTTTGAAATGCAAAAGTTTGAATGGTATGAAATCAAGAAACTTCAACTAGCATTGATACTCATAGGGGGCTTAACATTGTTATATCTAAGCAATTCTAATCAATCATGTAGGGGTGTCAAAAATTGACCCAATCCGCCAACTCAATCCTAAAATTCTAGATTCAAGTTGACTCGCTTATTAATTCCGGATTTAGATTGACCCGTTTAATAAACATGTCATATTTGGATTAAAAAAAACTCGTTTAACAAACCCTAATTAGTGCAATATTAACTTATAGAAAGAACACGAAGCGCTAGGGGTCAGTTTTTGGGGTGGGGAAGAAGCTTGCTTCTTCACAAGCAATCCCCGCCCCGTTTCATGTCCCGTCTGGCAGCAACTGGGTCTCCCCATCTCTCCTCTCCTTTCAGTCAAATGGCCTACCGGCTCCTAAACTTTTCCCGGTCTTCAGCCCAAGTTGTATGAGGTAGAAACTCATCCCACGTACGGTTCAGAGGCCGAGCCTCACCCCAGCAATAATTGTGCAGGTTAGGTCAACCCCTAATTAGTCCTGAAACATAATGCATTCAAATATTTATTTCCATAAAATATAATGAATGAAATACTTTTGAAGTTTAAACCCCTCTTTCAAAGTACTTAATCAATCCCTTTCATGAATCAATGAGGTGCAATCGATACTTAAAAAGATGAATAACAAGAACTTTCATGTACCAATGCATGAATTCTTTGATGCGAGCATGTGAAAATTGTACTTTTCATGTACAATATTAATTAAAAGAACTTTTTATGGCCCTGATTTCATGTTTCCAGAGAAAAAAAAAGGAAGAAAAGGTTAATCAAGTACAATATAGGATTAACCGAATCTTACCAAAGACTTCAGGATCACCATGTCGTGATTTGTACCAAGCCACGAAGAGATATATCTGCTTTCTGCTTCACAAGTCCAAGACAAATCAAAATTATGGCATTTGAACTCTAAAAGCCAACATTTAAACATTTTCCTTGTTACAGACTTCAATATATTACATTAAATGACAGAACTGAAATCTTAGAAACTCATTAAAAATAGTTTTTGCAATTGTAAATCATTTAAACATAAGTGTTGTACATTTGGCCTCAGAATTGCAGAATAACAGCATTGTTGAGATCAGTCCCGAAAGATGGTATTTTTGTCAACTGCTTTCATCAAAGGCTAACAATACAGTGAAATGAAACTGCTCTATGTTGTTTAAAAGACTATGGATTGCAGTTTTTTCAAGGAAATGAAATGAACTGAGGTTGAATACTTCGAGTATAAAATGAACAAAAACAGCCTGAAGTGATGAACAAAAGACTTCTTTACTCGTAACATCTGAGAAAGAAACAGGCACAATTTTGGTAAAAGTGGCCTCACAAGAGTTAATAGCTACTGTTTTTACCCATCTGAATAGGAAATTCGATAAAGAATAGCAACAAAAATGGAAAGAAAAAACATAAAAATTTAAGACTTGTTGGGATAAAATTTTCATGTTAGAAGCATCTGCTAATAAAATGAAGAAGCATCATTAATCAAAAACATTTTTTGTCAGCATAATACAAATAATAACAAATAAATGAAGAAGCATCTTGCTTATAAAATGGCCTCAGAATTGCAGAATAACATCATTAGCAATCAGTCCCGAAAGATGGTATTGGTGTTATTTGATGTCCTCATAGGCCTGTTATGTCTCATTCTTGGCTACATGGAAAAAAATAAAACATTCAAAATTTCTTTTGCGGAAACTGAAGAAAACAGAGTGCATTCACTCTAAAAAATGAACAAACCACACCAATTTGCCATCTGAACAGGTAATACGATAGAGGTGTTCATAAGACAAACACTCAATGTGCATATTGGTAAATTTTTACCTTGACAAATCCTCACATTATCATATAATACACACAATTACAAATTATTCCAGAATATCAGCATATAACAATGGCCTCAGAATTGCAGAATAACATCATTTGATCAAATCAGTCCCGAAAGATGGTATTGGTGTTA